TTTTGCTTTACAGATCTTCCTTCAGTGCCTACAGGCTGGCAAAGAAGAGTAGATCTCATGAATAAATACCTGGGAGAAGAAAAACCAAAAGGAACCTTCCACAATATCGTATCTGTTAACTATTAGGAAAACTTGCAGTTCCAATGTACTTTTTTTTTTCTCCCTTTTCCTGTTTTCATGCCAGCAGACAGGTAATTAAAGCATGACCGTAATATTAACTTCTTGATTTCTCAGTAATAAAGACATGCTATAGGTACATGTATGGGGATGGGGTTAGTTCATATTTGCAAAGTGAAAATATTTTCTAATTGAATCAGATGAAGTGGCTGAAGATAGGCTGCAAAGGTGGAAATTCTAACACTGAAAACAAATGCTCAATACGTTCAGGCATTAGTATCCTTAGGAACTGTTGTTCAGTCAAGTCAAGTTCAAGGAATTCGAACCTTACATTCCCACTTCTTATTGTATTTATTTTAATTAAAATAAACCAGGTAAGTCTGTCAATGCCTGTTGTTTTACATTTAAAAAAATTTTTCAACCATGTGACAACATCTTTTGGGGGTTGGAGGGTTCTTGAGAATACTCCTCAAGAACAATTAACTTCTTACAGCTAAAACACTCTTCTGCATTGTGCTTGATTGGTTAAGACTAAAATAAATACTGAAATTAGCATAATAATTAGTATTTGCCATGTATGATTGATTTTTATCTGGAATTAATTGCTAGCTAATTCAGATAATTTTTGGTAAATCATTAAAATAATCAGACTTCAGTTAACAGTCACCCAATTATTGCTATATCATACCTAAAAAGAACTGAACTGTTGTAATTTAGTTTATATAGCGTTTCTTGTCATGATTGTTTCTTTCTGTGTGAAACAAAACCACTCAAAGCCCTGATATGGTCTGTATATATTATAGGTTTGATAATTTTAGCACTACTCGTCTTGGACTGACATTCAGAAAAGATTTGACACTAAACTTTTCTTCTTTTAATTGATGTTTATTACAATTCCATGCAGCTTCTCCTCCTTCGATGCTATGACTTGTGAATGGGGCTGGTATCAATGATTTAGCAAAGCAAGCACCTCATATTAGAGCCATTACGATTAGCATTGCCAGGTTATTGGTACTAACTCAGTTATTAACACCTAAAAAACCAGAAGAATATGTGAATGCTACTGTTATTCAAGATTTTAAGCAAAAAAAAAAAATCTTGAAAGTAGATTCAAATCAAAGACAATATTTTTTCAGGTTATGCCATTAAGAAATATATGTGACACACAAGTAATTGCAAAACTCTTGCAAATAATGTGGCTTTTTTCCACTATTGACTTCGGAAAAGGAAGACAGTTCCCCAATCAATGAAAAATTCTCTATCAAGGTGCCTCTCAACTGTTCCAGACACATGGGGGTATACGTTTATAAGTATGTATATTTTAATCCAGTTGTGAATTCTTCTGAGACACTTTCACTCTGAAATGATGCTTTTAAAGGCAAATACAATGGATAGGGAATACTGATAGAAACACAGGCAAAGAGAGATATACATAAAACCGACATACATTGAAATAACTGAAATGTTGCCAGTTAGGTTATTTTCATCTGCCACAATTGACTTTACTTGCTTCCCTATGATTTTAACAGCAGTGACAAAACTGATCAAAGACTTTTTTATTCCTGATCTTGCTGCTTTGTGAAACTACGAGCAGTGACAAAAGCAGAATATAATTCCTCATGCCATTTAGTACTTCCTGAATTGAGAGCGCATATCTTCACAAATAGCAAAACAGAAATTTGCTTTTTATATTCTGCAACAGGTAATCAATATTTGTCATGAAGAGCTGCTTATTCCCCACTGAGCCATGTGCTGGTATATAATTTAAAGTTTGACCCCATTTGCAAGTAGGAAAAAATATTCAAGTATTAGCAAATATTGCCCACTAACCAATTACTTGCCAGAACATACTTCAAAATACAAAATTATCATTTTGAAAGTTATTTTCATGCAGAAGAAAGATATAGTTATCAGTTTTGAGTGTGTCACAGAGTACGTCTACAAGAAGCACTGACAGAATGGCGTCAAATACTTCCAAGACTCAGATTTGTAACTCCAGATGTGGAATGGGAGGGACGAAAGGGCTTTGGGTTGGGATTTGGGAGAGGGATTGTAGAAATACATCTCAGGTCTTCTTAGCAGACTATGATGTAGTGGCTTTTCTCCCCCATCTACCACTCCACCCCATCCCAGCCCTGATTCTACGAAAACAAGCTAAATGTAAATTTTACAAATTTTTCCTCAATAAAGTTAGTAATGTTCAGGTATTTCATACCCATGAAATCATGAAAGAGTTAGTTCAGGATGTATTGACAAGCAACAAATCTTTCTGATTTGCATCTCAGCCAAGAAGAAAAGTCTCAAAATAGGACACTATGGCTGTCTGAAAGAACTCTATCAACACAGATAGCGATCTCAGTTCAGTTCACAATGCTCAGAACAGTCACATCGCAAAAATGCATTCCCAGCTGCCTAAGTATGCATCTCCACCAGCATCTTTGTCACAAAGGGAAACGTGGCCACCCTGACAGTAACCCTTCCAACTCATGGTTTAAACACAAGAGCTTAAGAGTGGGCACTAGTAAAATGAAATTGTTGTTGCTCTTTAGTTCTGAAAGTACCTTAATCATTTGGGCTTGCCTTAGGCATGACATTCATGAAGGAATGCAAATCAAACATACTTTGAAAAACTGTCAGAAAAAGAAGTACTAATACTAAAATACACTGAAGATGACTAAATGGACGTCAAACACCCATGAAAGTGATCTCAAAACACATAGGGAAGTCCTATTAGATTATAATTTTCTAAAACAGTAATTTGTTACTCTTGAGGCAAATAGATAAGAATACGCAAACATTCATGGCTTTGGGTGTTCCATTTCATTTAAGAAGTGCCTGTTCAGCAGCAGACCGGACTGTCAATCAAATAAATGAGTGGAGTCAATGCACAGCAGAAAAGTTTCCTGACAAATTTTTGTGAGCTTTGGTTCCTGGTTATACTGCTTATGTACAGTTCTAAAGCATGACTCACTCACATAATGGACAGAAATTCACTAAGCATTAATGTCTTGGAAAAAAACAAACAAACAAAAAAACCCAACAAAAATCCTTATCCCATTAAGAGAGAAACCTTTTAACCTTATGTAGAAAATTATACTTGCTTCCAGTAATGGCAATGTCAAAATTGTATCTTTATAATGAGTATCTTTTGATAATTAATGCCAGCAAGATCAGACAACAATGTGAATTTCATTTTCTGATTACAATGCATAGTGTGCTTTTAATGCTCTGTATTATCCAAGGTTACTGTACAGCTTGCCTAATACCATCAAACCTGAGGAGGTCTTGAGAAAAATATTTGGCCAGTAGCAATGTCACTTGTGTAATTTATGGATCTAGACACTTTCTATTCCTTTTTGCTACAAAGCAAATGTTGAACCCAAGCAGACTGGTATTTCAGTGGCTACTGAAGCTTCTTTACAATCACTACTACAGAAAGAGTAAATTCTCAAGTCAGCATGAAACTATTACATACAGTAGAAGAGAACATATGAAGTACACTTACCCTGTAGTAACACTTTTTGAACGTAACAAAACAACAAAGTAGTTTCAAACTGTGCAGTATGAAAAGATGCATGCTGTTTATGATCATGTGTCACCTATCCATCAGTCCTGGCAGGCGGAAAACTAGTCTTAATGAGCACATTCTCTATGGGCAGTAGTCTCAAATTCAATGCACAAAAGCTCAGAGTCCTGGGCCTTACTCAACTATACCACAGCATTTACAAAGTTTTATCTAAGTATTCATGTTCTACACTGCACAAAAGTTTAAGTAATCTGAATGTTTCCATTTGTGTATGAAATCTACTTATTACAAAGTTTTACAAATGCTCTCTTTCAAGAATTGCAGAGTGTTAACGAACCACAGCCATCCTTGGATTGTGCAGAAGACATGCTTTTTGTTACTGCATGTGTTCACTGTCCCACCCATGAAAGTGAGGGGCTGATATAAGGAAAGAAAATGCATTTCCCTTTATAGTCAGCTGCAAGTTGAAAACTTGATTGGAAATGAACTTAATTCACTGCCATAGCGATGAAGTGCAGTACTATGTTCTTCTACACATACCAGTACAGAGAAAAAAGAAAAAGAAAAATCACCAAGCACAACTCTCCTCAGACAGAAAATTAAGATACAAGAATGTGTCAAACAACATTCAGCAACTAACTGATGTATTGATGCCTGCTTCACAAACAATCTGTCTTACTGCATTTGTACATTAGTTTCTGTGAAAAAACAGTACTAGATATATAGCGTTACTTATACATTGTAATGAAACCATTTTGAGCACTTTTGATTTCAACCTTTTGCATTAACTCTGAACAGGGTTTCAAATGTCTCTGAGTTGATATCTACTGATTTTCTACTACGTTAATATGCACGTTATCTATGGAGGCATTTAAAACTCTTCGTTTTACAGAAGCATGGATAATGACATTATCTTTTCAGGTGAATTCATCTCCTCTGTCTTTACGTGCCTATAGAAAAGACACGAGTTAATTGACCAGATCCACTTTTTAGGCATAGGGAGGAAAACATAGATTCTTTTTTCCAGTCACTGCTCATCTCATTCTGTGATAGATATCCAGAACAGGGCAGAGGAATCCTGGTCCAAAGCATGCACTTATCTCCAATAACTACAGAAGGAGTCAAGGTGACTAACTGATCTATACATATGTACACGTGAGCACCTACGGTTAGACAAAATGAAGGTCATCTTCAGTAACTAAATGTTTTCTTAGAAATCCACAATATCATAACTTCATCTAACCTTGCTTATATCTGGACAAGAGGCATTCCTTGAAAAATGTGATGCAGTATTTCCAATATACATCGAGTTATTTGCTGTACATAAAACATCACTGGACTTTTTGTTAATTAAAAATTAATCAAACAATGTTTTCTTACCATGGCAGGACCCATCTACTTCTTCATATCCTACACTGCAGATGCATCGTCCTAGAGGCACAAGCCAATCCCCATCCGCTCCACAGTACAGTTTTGGAGTATCACGTTCTTCAGCACTCTTCACACAGGAGCCCCGTACTTCCACCAAAGAGGAAGAATCAACCCTTGGAATAGTATCAGGAAACATAGCCAAATTACGGACCGTGAAAGGGCACTTTTTGTAATAAACACGGACTGAGACCAAAGCAATGCATGCTCCAATGTCCTGAAAAGCAAGATAAAATCCTTTCTTGTTTATTGGCCCAACCTCACGAACTTCTGTGTTGAGTTTAAGAATGCGGTCACCCAAGTCCATCTGGGTAAAGCTCTCATCAGCTGCAATAGTATCAATTTTAGTGTACTGGTTTGTCTTGAATTTTACTCCATGAGACTCATCTGACTCCATGTAGTAGAGATTGAAAGTTTCCTTGCAGGTTCCCAGTACCCATGGAATACTGTTGCAGTCCCTCAGGGTAAACTTCATTTCCACATAAATTTTCTGTGCAGCATCACGGGAGATCCAGTTCGTTTGAAGCCAGTTGTTTTGGTTTGGTTCCATCACATTGCATACCTGATAAGTATGAATGGGACGATTGTGTTCATCCATTTCAGTTATGGCATCCCACTGAAAAGAAAATAAAATTGTTTGAAAACTAAGAAAACTACATATTACATGTATGCACATACACAGAGCCCACGTATAGACAGACATACACATGCACCCCATATATATGCATCTATAGCATAAGTAAGAATAATTATTTGCTTAAAGTTTAGCAGAAAGACTAGTTAAAAGCAAATACCAACTACAGAATGGTACAACAGGTTTTATTTCAGAAACTCTTATGATAAGTTTCTAGTAATAAAAACTTTTAAAAATCCAGTGTGGCTCAGCAGAAGAGGGAAATATTTGCCATGTTTCCATTTGCAAATTTCGTAAGTCTGAGAACATTCCTGAACATAAATTGCTAGAACAGTCCTGTTTGGTATGCCGGTGGGCTGGCTCTCTGGCAGTCCTCCAATCAATTCCCACAGCTCAGGCATATGGCACTGGCCAGGCACCTACAGCAGTCAGCAGATGCGATGCAGCCGCTGTGATTTGGTGGGTCTGAGGCGTTTGGTGTAGGTTGTCCTGGTTTACACAATTGCCCTAGAAACATTTAACTATATAGAGAAATGCTACATTTCTGGCTCTGTAGGGTCTGCATTACACTTATTTCTGCTAAAAAATAAATAATGAAAAAACCTCAAACCTGTCACAGGCATCATGCCGTTGTTGCCTTTATAATTTCTTTCTTACACCTCTTTGGAGGTGAAGGAGGAGTGAAGTAGGAGTGCCTACTTACTTCAGTATTACAAATAAGGTATGTTTGGCCTGCAGCCTACTGGATTGAGAAAATGTAGGAAGTACAAGTGCAGTTTACCATTTTTAAACAATAAAAAATTATATATGTATATATATATATCACCATTTAGAAATCCTGTGGAAAGATGGACTTTAACTGTTCATCTTTTTCTGTGAAAGAGGAAGATACTACTTAAGTGTAAATTCCCAGACATCAGATAACTCTTAAGGCCCAGGTGAACATGTAGAAAACTAGCTCGTTTTACTTTGAGTTTTAAGAACAAATAATGTCACAATATGGAAGTAGAAGAACATGCTTATCTCTAAGGCTTTTCACATAATCTCTATGTAAAAAGATAACAACACAAAAGCACACAACACCAGCAACAAGGTAGGGAAAAAATGTGCACCACTTTCTCTTGCAGTGAACAGATCCACCATGGTGGAAGCAGCAGAAAACAAACAAAAACCAAAAAAATCTGTGGCTCCATTAGCCTAATGACTTCGATTTTAAACGGTGGCTGGAATGCAAGTAGAAAAAGGAATCCCAAGTGCTGCCAGATGCAACCAGAAATTGAGATTCCTGGTCACTGCAGTGTGCACCTGGAGCTGTGCAGAAAAATAGGTTAAGTGAAGGTCTTTATAGGCCACCACTTCTGGGGCTTCTTCCTATCACAACAAAAATGATAACCTCATCTGAAGGTCCTGTCCTAAGAATCACAAAACATACTACTTATTATATGATAACCAGACAATGGCAAATATTTAGCAATCTGCCGACTCTTAAGAGATTCTTACATGGCCAAGAGCTTTTGGCCTCTATGACTTGTACGCATTCAGACAGGGCAAAGATGCTACTTCAGCAGTCATTCAGCTACTTTAGAACAAATTTAGATTTGGTCAAAGTTGTGTGATGAAGGATTAGTCAGCACAGGGCTTCTCCTGCCATTGTCCCCAAACTGGTGTGAACTATGATTAAAGTCTACCTTATAGCAAGCAATATAATACCCCAAGTAGATCTTGGCTTTGGGAAAGGAACAGGAGACTTTCATGCTCTGATGGGCTAGGTCTCTTCCCTTTTGCCAAGTGTGAACCCACACAGCTTGAATAGATTCAAAATTCCACAGCCATGAGGGATGAAAGCAAATAATTAACATTATTTTTAATTTTAAATAAAATTAATTAAAATCTACAGCTCCAAGCCTTAAAACTTCACCAGAAGAGGTTTCGTAAAAACAAAGCAGTTAAGTCTCTCAGCCACTGGTCCCCATTTTGCTTACCATGTCTGTTACATGAGCCAAGTACATACACCTTTTTCTTCACATATAAAACATGTACTGTAAGTTTAAACGTTATTACACAAATGTGTGTTATACACAAATATAACCACAATGTGGATTTAGAAAAAAAATAAACAGAAGCACAAAAGGTCTGCTGCATTTATTTGTGTATCAAACCACATTAAAAGGAAGATGTGCTATATACTGCAGAGGTCTCAAAAAAAAAAAACACCAAACAAAAAAAAACAAACCCAAAAACAACCCACAGCAAAAAACCAACTCACAAAAGCACAAAACAAACCAACCAACCACCAAACAACAAAAAGGGCACCCCTAAACCCCCAAAAATGCCACCACACCAAACCCAGAATAAAACAGTAGTAGGTGGGATGACAACATAGTTTTTAAAATATAGAATATTCTTCAGAACAAGAGTAAACTAGCTTAACGAAAAGCCTCAACATACTGCTGCCTCTTAAAAACACCAAGAAAAAAAATTCCAACATATCCTCCTCCTATCATGAGATTCTCTTCAGAAATACTTATATATTCACTTTGAATCAGTACCTTGATTTGAGCTTAGAAATTAAAGGCCTGAAGTTAGCTGCTAACTGTGTAGTTAATATAAATCTATTACTTCTGTAGGAAAGTAAAGGCTCAGCACTTCAATAACTGGTTTAAAAGAATAAAATAAGATGAATTGATCAAACATGGACAGTGCTTTAGTTCATTCAAAGCAGACCTTGCATGCTTCATGCCTGTGCCTTTCCATTGTGCTCCCAGATAGCCTGCTGACAGCTCCCAATTAATGAGAATTCATGTATTGGGCAAGAAAAACATTCAAAAGTCATTTGCAAAAGTGTTTAACATAAGTCATAGTCTAATTGTCATACACATAGAATATTTTCAAGAATGGTTAACATTTAACATTTCAACCTAGCCATGGCACTCAGACATATTGTATAAGGTATACTGGTAAATACAGCTGTTTGTTGGCATGTGCTCTTAATTGCTAGTTCCAGATATTAAGAGCAAATGAGGTGAACTCCACCACCCCAAAGCATCAATGTAATTTACTGAAAAGTCTGACAGAACTCAATCTGTGATAGTCTTTGATAATGACACTTTCTTCCTGGGCAAAATACAATCTGCTTTGAATTTTACATAAATGTTGCATTTTTCTTCTGATAAAAACAGTCAGGAAATATTAAGCAATAGTTAAATTCAGCTCAGACAACAGAAAGGCAAACAATTTATCAAATACACACTAGGGGTTTTTTTGGGTGTATAGCGCCTAATTAATGAAATGAAAAGTATCTATAAACATGTTAGTTGTGTAAAACTATTCTTCACTTAAACCTTGAAAACAAATGAACAGAAGCATCTCATTGCTGATGCTTACATGAGAATGTGATACTCCCCCCAGAATACCTAACCTGACATGCATAAAAACTGGCAGGAACTGTCTGGTTTAGACAAGCTGACAGTTCAGACTTCCTTCCTCTTGGCATCCCAATGCACTGCATGACTTTCAAAATTTTTTATTACATTCCTTCCAAATGAGGAAAGCCTTTGATAATGTTGATGGAAGCAGCAGCAGCATAAAGCTAATTTTTACAGCTGGAGTTCCAGGACTCATGAAGAAGTGTCAAAAACATGGTTTGGAAGAAAGACTTCAGAATTCTACTTTAACATTGTAATCAAGAGCAGCATGGATAAGAGGTTACATTTTACTTTCACATGTGGCATAAAGCAGGGGTTAAGTGTCACTAAAATAGAAGAACATGGAATTTGAAGATTGGTAGAGATAATATTTTAAGATTACTTGTCACGTTCAAGTACAAAATATGAGATTTGGCTACAAACCACACTGAGATTTTAGACAAAATTTCAGCAGCTTTCATATCTCTACAAGCTATTTTACCACTTCTCTGTTTCATTTTAGAACTTCACTAATATTTAGCAGCTGTACAGAGAACACTATAAAGACCAAATTGCCTAAATAAAATCTTGTACCAGCTATATATAATACCAAAATCTGTTTTCAGTGTTCCCCTCTTCTTTTTATTCTTATTTTAAACCAAATATTATAGAATTACAAAATCTGCAAAAGACACTTATTACAATTCAGTAGGTTGCATGACCAAAGGCTATACGAACATTACAAAAACAGAGATTGCTTTTCAGGTATTTTATGTTATTTTTAAACACGTTACTGTCTGATAAGAAAATGACTTAGCAATACAATGCTATTGAAAAGTAAACATGGCAGATGAGTTTCAACCTGATGGTAGCGGTCATCACTTCCCTGAAGACACCAGTTACTTCAACAAATCCTGAATCTTGACTTATCTTTAAGCCACGATCAGCCTCTTAAGCAAACTCTTATTGAGGTCATATTGTGTCGCTTAAAGAAAAGAGATGTTAAATTGATGATTGGCATGATTTGCCCAGTACTAGCCATAAACAACGTTGGATTTAGGGGGAGAAGGTAGAACAGAAAGGACTGAGAGGATATTAGCTCACCCTGTTGTCACCTCTCAGCCCTCTGTGGCAGCACTGTGAAGCTGTATGTTCCCACATCAACCCTACGCTCTTTGACTTCCAGTCCCACGTGTACCCTATGGGCAGAGAGTAGTCAAGGCACTGGAATAGGGCATCTTCTCCCATGTGAAACCTGCACTGCAGGCTCTTCTCCACCATATCACTTGAGCCTCGTTTCCCACATTGCAAATCTTCATTGTGCCATTTGTGTAGAAACAAGGTCAAGCAGATTCTCTCCATTTAGCAGCACCCTACTTGCGCTTGAAGAATTCATTACAATATTTTATTTGTATGCAAAACTATACTGTAAGAATCTTTTCCAATTAGTAGGGGTAGCTATATCAAGTATTTGAAAATGTCTATTTCATAATGAGCTGACATGTAAGTAACTTCACATGTAGTGAAAGGCGTTTTTTCCCCACAAGTTGTCACACTGAATGATGAATTAATAGTGAC